GAACAGGGAGTGCAGGTGGTGTATGGCTGCGTTGCAGTAGTCCTGGGAGCCTAGGGTTGCGCCGAGGAGACAGGATCGCGTGTGTGTTTTCACTGCGGTGTAGCCTGGGACATGGGTGTTGACGCTGTAAATGCTGCTGCGCATGTAATCTACAAAGTTGGCGAAATCTCGTGCATCCACATTGGGCCAGGTGAGGATGCTGTCTGGCCTGCTGTTTAGAAGGGAGGCGGCGAGTGTGGAGTGGTGTGTCAGAAGCGCTTCGGGGAGGTACCAAGTTCGTTGACTGACGGGGTCTGCGCCGACGATGACTTTGATGGGCTTGTGGACTGGGAGACGGCTTTTGGGACTGTTTGAGCTGTTTTCTGGGTAGGATTGTGAGGAGGTTGGGCTGAAGTTTGCGGTTTGAGAGCTAGTGGTTGTTTCGACTTCAGAAGTGATATCCGCGAGCGGATGGCGCGGGGGCTCCATACTTTCAAATGAAAGACGGGGTGATGAATTGTTTTCCTTGGTAGTGAGGTAGGACGGTAAGGCAATGAGAGTGGTGTTTTTTAGCATCGTTTGTGATTGCGATGGAGTGCAAACGGAGGCACTGTCACGTGGCAGCGTCGAATAGTGAGGAAACGCAAGTAGATGTAGAAAAGGCTCTTGTTTCTGGGCTCAAAAGCGATTGTATATTTCGAATTGGATGATATAGCCAGATTTGGAGGTGTCCCAGCGTTACCTTCACTTTTGAGTTCTTTGGCTCCAACCATTTGCTCTACGCTGTCTTGCTGTTTGCTCTAAGAAAGAATGGGCAGGGATACAAGGCATACATAGCAACTATCATGAAGGAGAGAGACATATGACAGTATGGAAAAGAGTATAGCTTACCACTTAAATGTTACTCTCTGTGTCCATCCACTTCACTGAGACTGTACCTGTCCTCAAATCCAATCGATTCGATACCAACTTTCTCCAAACCCTCATACCTATCCTATTCCCACGTGTAAATAACGCCCAAACCCCAAAAATCAGAGGAATCAAGCGTAGAACCAACGACTAAACATGATGGCTACGTAGCCCCTACCTCATAGACCACCACGCAGAGCAACAGTCATTCGAGTGTGAACCTTACTTCTAGAGCTGCCACTCTAATGGCCTTGTCCCCACTTGATTCTCTCGATCACGAAGTAACGCGTACACACTGTCGTCACCATCACAAGCAGGCCAAGTTGTGCCCAGACAAAAGAAGTACAACAACAGTGCAGAATAAAAGACTGTAGCTCTTTTCAACGCCGTCGTTTTCTCTACACGCAGCTCTTTGCCTTGAAACAAATGTCCAGCGATACCAGCGGCATGTGAAGCGATTTTGATTGAAGACTTGGGGAGAGTGTGCCCACAGCATCTGGAGGAGTGTCCTTTAACACTCC